ATTTGAGATTCTTTAATCCCAAAATGAGGGCAATTAAGAGTGGAAGGTAGTGTGGGTGTGGTAGAAGATGCCTATCGACTCTCTACTGGAGTTTAGAACGCTACCAAAATTATGTTTTGTTGTTCCTGTTAAAGTATTTATTTATTCCAAATGGCAGGCGTTTTGATGGTTATCATTAGCCCTTTAGCTGACTTCAGGCTTCACGGAGGAGAAGGAATATCAAAGAGGAAAAAAAGTCGAGAGGGGGGGAACAGAAGAGTGTTTCAAAGATGTAAAAGAGACAGACACAAAGGTAGAAAAAAAAGTGAGGTGAGTACTGTAGAAGTAGTCGAATATGACATTCGGTGGGGTGATGGTAGTTTGAAGTGAGTAGTCAACTGCCGGTTTATAGACTTTATGCCTTAAGAGTATACGTTGCCCAGGATGCATCACGTGGAGGTAAGTCTATCGCATGCCCCATTTTGGAACGAAATAACCTCGACTCAAGGTGCTAACGCGTCAAGAAACTGTTTAGCTTTTCCTTTAACCAAAGCAAGATTATATTTTATTCTTTTTAAGTAACTCATAACACTGCAACTAATAACAAAATCTGACAAGAACCGACCTCATGAAGTTCACGTCGAAAATTATATCTACGTTTAATTTACTTTGGCAGTGTAAAAATAAAAAATGCAAGTGGAAAGTTGTCATCTCTCATTATCTACATATCCTTTTTGAATTGAGACTGTTGAGTACGTTGCGCTATTTGGTGATTGCTTTAGAAACTATTTAATTTAGATGTCAAACATTTGCATATATAGGCGTTTGCATCCTTTTCAAGTGAATTCTGTTTCACCTAATAGTAGAATGAGAATGTCAGCCAACCTGTTTGCCCTACTTTGCAAAATTAAGTGGATTTGAGCCTTTGTGACAGGAATTCTAATTAATGGCTCTTTTCGTTGCGATTTCCGGGTCAATCTAAACACCACCTTGCCTTGACTACGTCTTATTAGGATCTCTTACTAAGTCAACTTGGTACCCGACGCTCAAGTGAAGTGAAAATTTCATTGAGTTAGCTGCTAGGTGCTGTTAGGACGAAATCCCATGATTCATCTTCTCGAACTACTTGTGAAATCATTTAATCTGCCAATTTAATAATGACTTTTAAGTCCTTACTACAGTTCAAGGGAGTTAAAGTTTTTTTCTTCTAATGGCCAATCAACGCAAATCACATCAGCACAAAAGATTTCATTTAATTCGTTGAAGTCAAAGTTTAAGGGCTAATGATAAATATCACAAAGCCCGCCATTTGAAATAATAATAATTTCATTTAATTCGATAGTAATAAATAGAATTAATGATTTTCTACATTCCTCGTCTGGAGGGAGACTTTAGAAACTCGCCTTCAAGTTCAATTGGTGCTCTCAAGATAACTAGACGTCCAATTATTGAGCTCGAATGCATGATTGGAAAATAAAACTAAATTTCCAGAGTTAAGTCAAACGATGTTTGCTAGGTAGCCCGACCTTAAAGTGAAAGTCCCTTTACTTTAAGGACTTCAAAAGCTTTGCGTAACTAAAATCAAAGGACTAGAGACTCCTCTAGAGTACAAATACTTCCCAAGTCGGCAAGAAAAGACGTTGACCTTCTCCCGAAAGGATAGATGAGGTGTGCTTTAACAACACCCTTCAAAGTACGCAAGGACTCTTTTACTTCTAATACCCTAGTCTTTGTTTAGGTTACTAAATATCTTTCACTTCATAACTTCGTTCTTCTAGGTAAAAGTTTTTTAGATCTTCAGACCCCATCAGCCTTCTTGTTGGTTATTGACTTTCAAGTTTGTTAAGTTAAAAGCATCAGTAAACTTTGCATTAGTATTTGTATTAAAAGAGTCCGTGTTATTTTTTAAAAAAGTGTCTGCCGAAATCCAACGAAGCCTTACCCTTATTTGTCGTACTAACCCCCCCCCAAATATCGCTGAGATGGAATTCTTTCCATCACTTTTGCAACAAAAGTAGTACTACTTTTTCAATATTGGTGCGTTACAATAAGTGAATTTTAGTGAGTTATGATAAAATTGCATTAACTATCAAGAGCGATATACCTATCGAGATAATAAGAATAAATCTCTCTTTTTACAACATTGAAGTCAAAAAAACTTAAGACCTGATTCCTGGAACCTTAAGTTGAAAAACGGTAAATTATTATTAGCCTTAAGTAAAATTTGTTCCAGTTGGAGAAAGACCCGTCTGAGGCTATGAGATGCTTATCAGTTCCTACTTCAGATCCCCCTCTACCCCCCCCCCCCCCACTCCCCATTGGATCATTTAAATTATTTTCACGATCAAATACTTTTCCTTGGTTAAAATAGTTGCAACCATTGATAAGAACGCTTTAATATTTTCGTGAACCGTTTGGCAAACCTATCTTATCCTAACCACAAATACGCCAAAGAATAATTTCCAAAGGATGTACTATGGATTATCGATCAAATAAAGACAAATCAGATTAACGCTGCCCTTGTTAGGAAAATTCTCTGGGTAGTCTGATTTGTGTATTAACAGCGAATTTCAGCTAAGCCAGCATAGCCTACTTGCTGAGAACGAAGACTTTGTATTCACGCAAGAGGGAAGAATACACTAAGAGCGTTTGAGAGAAAGCGGTTTTAAGATTTTTGAAAATTTATGGGAAGTCCGCTCTAATGTGTGTCTACTTACATTCGTTCTCCCTAGTAAGTTCACACAATTGAATGAGTCGTAAATTTCCCTTCGATTACGCAAAAAGAGTGAAAAAATGAGAAAATCTGGCATCAAAAGGAGGTGGAAAATGCGCATAACGTTTCCATAAGCTAGATATCTCGCCTTCAAATATCACGATACGTAAGTGTAGGAAGGAGGGGGGGGGGGGGGGGGAGAGGTGATTTAAAAGAACCTTCATTTTGAAAGAACCAAATGATTGGAAAGATCATTGGAAAGTTTCGACTGAGAAGCACTGTCCATTCTGAACAGAAACTTGCTCAGTAATCCAGAAAGTAATCAAAATTTACGAAAGCTTGAAAGTGTCTAAGAATAATTAATATCTTACAACTCTAATAAGATGAATGATACTCTTTTTCTGAACTGAATTTAATCATAATGTGTGATCTAGCCCCTTTTTACTTTTCCATATTTGAAATTAATCTGCTTTCTATCATGGCAAAAGATACACTTTATCGTCATTTCGTGGACCATCAAACTCTGGTCCAAAATTTCTCCATTGATGTACCGTAGGGTTCAAGGAACTACTGTAGAAAGCAGATGCTTAAATCAAACTCTGGATTAAACGGCGTGATTATACAAGGATAGATTACTATTTAAGTTAATTGTTTTTTTTTCAACCTGAAGGATATTTTTAGTCGAAAAATGCGTAAGAAATGAGTTACGATGATACTGTGTCATTCTGTTAGCAATAAAATATAAAATTTGTACAGTTAAAAGTGATAAATAGTTTTCGAGTCAAATTGATCATTTAGCAGTCTAGTATATTTTCAATTATCGTTCAGTTTTGTAGTTGTTCGTTTCTAGAGAACAAACATTTCTGACTTTGTGGACTTTTATAATCACGTATATCACAAATCAGTCATTATTTCTTTGTTGTTAGAAAACAGTTAGACAAAAAAATAGTTCATAAATTGCTTACGAATCAAAAACATTTTAGCGTTCACAACTATCATCTATCGATGTTAATGGCTCTATTCCACATTTCTTACAGCTGAAATGAATCTAATAATATAATGCTCAATGAGTTTCTTCGTTAAAGAAAAAATTATCATTTCACAAATGTGGATCATTACACTATTTGTCAACCGCAATATCATCCATGACTACTATGGGAAGAAGATATTTGCCTTTAATTATCATCCAAACATTCACCATTTGGGGCGCTTAGTAATAGCGATTGATACTCACAAGAATGCCAGAAAAATTCACCGTTGCTTGAAAATGAGAACCAACCCGACTAACTTACTTTCCGTCACTATGGAGACATCAACCTGACCACACGTGAAGACACTAAATCTGAATGTGATAATTCATAATTTCTTAAGAGACATGTGAAATTTACTCCCGTAAAGTTGGTCAAAAGACAAGATAGAGAAAGTCGCACAGATTTTAATACCACTATAATATAAATATATACACTAGAAAGACCAAATAATTAGGGGGTGTCCGATGAATGGAATAAGTTAACACATCACAAACATTTTAGTGTCTGTGGAGGATGGAAAGATTAAAAAAGAAAAGTGTGCTGAGAATGAATGTTATATACACGATGAGGAAGAAATTATAAATAAACAGACAGAAAAATGACATGGGCTATTCACAATATAACACTTTGAAATGCAGCAACAGCAGATTAAATTGGTGGGAACCAGTCTCAATTTTCCATTGGTTGAAAAGAAGATTGTTCAACAGTGGGATCGATTGAATAGTCTGTACCTTCCTGAGCAACTGGTGTTAGTGGAGGACCTTCACTGGGCATGATTAATCCTTCATCAGATTTTGCGGGAGAGTTTACTGAACCCTGATTCGTTCCATTTAGAGAAGATCGGGCACTATTATTACCATCCTCGAATCTTAAGTCCGAATTTCCTATCAGATGCAAGTTGTCAAGAAATTCAAGACACTCTGAAGAACTGAGACGAGTGGTGATGTTCAAGCGAGGATCGACATCGGGATGCGTCACTTCAATATGTCTAACAAGATGATCCTTCCTATAGTACTCTTTGTTACAGATATTGCAAGTGAAGGGCTTGAACCCAACGTGTTTCAGAGAGTGTCTTTGGAGGTTAGACCTTTGAGTAAACTTTGCATTGCAATAATTACACCGGAATGAATTGTGAACCTCCAGAGTGTGCCGAGTCAGTTCAGTAAGAGATGAAAACTGGTCCCTGCACTGGTTGCAAATGAAGCGTCGGGGGTGAACATAACGCCTACTGAATAAAGCCTGACTTGGCACCTTTGTAAGTGGTCGGGAAGTAGATAGCGGTGAAGTATATGAGCCTTCATTGGAAAGTGGAGAAGAACCCCTACTTCCACTATCATTTGTATTCGTAGTCTTGTTGGGGCATCCAACTTGGGTGTTTGATGGAATGCTATCACAGTTTGTGATGGTGACATTGGGAGCAACTTCAGTGAACGTTTTCATGTCCATAGAGTTGGTGGTGGACGTAGGAAGAGGTGGAAGATTGATTGGTAACGAAAAATTAAATGGATTGACTGTGGATTGAAGTGGATTTACAATAGGGGTATTAGTGCTAGTTAAAAAGGCTCGCAACAACTGAATCATACTGTCTTGATTCAAATGGAGGGGATTGGAAGTTTGAGAGGGAAGGCCAAGAGGTGCCGAATGATTAGGAAAAAGGTTCCCAATTGATACTGATGGAGCTGACAACAAATCACCAAGTTCATTTCCTGATACAGAAGATTTCGAGGACTCTTCGTCTGACTTTTGTGAAAGATCAAGAACATTGTTAGCTACTGTAGTTGTCGTTTGATCGTGTTTCGTCTGATGGTAGGTTTCATTGATTGAAATAACATCCTTCTTGCTGTCATCAACAGTATAAGCAACTAGTACTTGGATTTGCAAGGTGGATTTGTGTGGAATTATGTCTCTGAGCACATGTCGTAGCTTATCCTTGAGAGCGTCGGTGTTGGCAGTCGTCTCATCGTAGGGCACCTCAGAGCTCGCAACAGGCATTGAAGGGAATGTTGGAGGTGTAGATGGAGAAGAAGCATTATTTTCTGGTGAAGAGGAAGAAGAACTTTCCTGTTTTTCAGTGAGAAGATCGTAGGGCAAATCGTTGAGATTGAATCCACTTTTCAGAACATCAATAAGGCCTTGTGGCATTAGGTTATTGGTGTTAAACCTTGGGTTGGTCAGTAATAAATCCATCTGAAAAGAAAATGTTAAAGTGATTGGGACTAATAGACCCCAACTTGAGCATTTAAATATATGTATGCGATATTTAGTCTGTGAATAAAATTTCTCAATTGGGAGAAGACAAATAAAATTTAAGGGAGTAATGATTAAGTAGGATTTGAGTGGGAATTGGCAGTCTGATGTCGGGCTGAATTGTCAGTGGTCAGGTGAACTACACTGGAAGCGTAGCGGCCACAATGCCATTGGTGGAAATCACTGCCCCACATACACGCACATCCCAGTATGGGGAGGGAAGACAGGATAAGGGGAAGATTATGTGGTGATGATCAAAGTAACTGACAGACTCACCATAAGAGAGAGTGTTTGTTTGTCCTCGTGAAGTAATCGTGCACGAAGTGTAGCTGAGAATTGTACGATTTACTGCAAGACAGAGGTAGAAAAGCTCTTAAATAGGCTCAGGAAGTGCGCACGTGGCAGCAAGTGAAGAATGTTTGCGCGAAGGATTTGAACGGGTGTATAGGAGAG